TAAAGACGTTCACTACATGTATACACGTACACTACACTTAAAGACGTACACTACATGTATACACGTACACTACACATAAAGACGTATACTACATGCATACACGTACACTACACATAAAGACGTACACTACAGGTATACACGTACACTACACTTAGAGACGGACACTACATGTATACACGTACACTACACATAAAGCCGTACACTACAACTACACATAAAGACGTACACTACAACTACACTTAAAGACGTACACTATATGCATGCACGTACACTACACTTAAAGACGTACACTACATGTATACACGTACACTACACGTATACACGTACACCACATGTTAATGGCGGACTTACGTTATGTTTAATAACACGCGGATACGTCCACTGGATGTGGCTGTAACATACACCTGCCAGTTACTAAAGTATTTTAGAACATTGGGATGAGAACTCTCAAATTATATTCTTTAATATATCTTATGAACAGTATAATTGTGTGGGTAACAAAAAGGATAGTAAAGATACGAGCCGACAATCACAAACTCGTGTGTAAAATAGTTCTCGACAGGTAGATTGTCAGTCACTAATGACCACTCGTTAAGGATCCCATCAGGGCCATTCCTTGTTAATAATTAATATCTAGCATCGGGGCATCTTGGAAACCATATACCAGAACATTGATTATGCTTGGACTTCCATTATTACCTGTCAATAGTATCACAGTATATCACAGTGATGTGATATATTAGATGACAACTTGTTTTTATACATCCTTGTTCGTTAGATCATAATCACATGTATGTTCGCGATATGTGATGTCGACTCGGCGTTTTTGATTTTTAGAATCAGCAGGTCTTTTCCCCCCTTTATGACGTCACTTCAATTCCGTCTTTGCTTATTGCAGAGTTATCTTCTCTTGTGACCAGATATTGATTGCTACGTCATTGGTTTGTTTGAGAAAATAACGTCGTTTCACAAACAAATAACGTAACAATCAATACCTGCTCACAAGAGAAGATAACTCTGCAATACGAAAAGACGGAATTGTAACGTCTCAATGCACTCTGCTTAATTCAATGCATTGATTTTTTTTCTTGATTTTCAAATTCTCAACACGATCCTTATTGTTTAAATTTTTATATCTTATATAACTATACAGGGATTCAGTTTGGTAAATATGCGGTTATATGTTAGTCTGAAGAATAATATTGACCTCGACTTCGTCTTGGTTAATATCGCTTTGTTATGTCAATTTTACCACTTACTGATATTTTACCACCTGTGTGATGATACAAGAAGAGTTAAGTATATAAATCGATTTATCTATTCAAGATTTTCAGCTGAAGGGTTAAGCCAGCAATTGCGGGTCGTTGCCGTCTGTCGTTCGTCCGTAAACTTTTCTTTGGACGTCTTCCTCTTAAGAATTGCTAGGCCAATTACAACAAAATTTGGGAGGAAATCTGCCTATTGAATGCTCATTCAGAGGTAACACGCGTCACTGAATATATTCAAAATACCAAATGGCTATTTCTGCAACTGAGATAAGTTTAATATCACGATAAATAGCCTGTATTTTGCTGCTGCTATGAAGTATCACAAAGTTTGCGAAAATAAATTGTCTTGACTGATATTTAAGGTCACAGGGGTCAAAGATATTTAAAAAAAAAAAAAAAAACTCAAAATATATCTTCATTAAGTTATGATTTATAAGTCAATAGCTTGCTTGCAATGAGTACTACAAATTTAGAGTAGAAAAGAAGTTAAGGTCATAGGAATAAAATCTGTTTAACAATCTGATGGTTTATGATGAAGAACAAAAACGCGTGTTACGAAATTTGGGAAAAGGGAATGACTTTGACCTATATTCAAGGCCTCTGGTGTCAAACTTATTAAAATACTCAACCGGCCTGTTTAGAACAAGACAAAATAGCCAGTAGCTTGCTGAAGTATATTGCTAGGAAGTTTGTAAAAAGAAAGTCCACTCTAAGGAACCCCCCGTACCACTCCCAAAAGCTGTAGCTATGGTTGGAAACTGATTTTTTCCGGCATGACTACAGCTTTGATAAATCGTTACTGAAAAGATAACCATACCTTGCGGTACTTTTATGAAAAAAATCAAACTAAAGAAAGCAATCGATAGTGTTCTGTATGTACCAAACTTAGCCTGGCGAGACAGGCAGGAGTCGAGCACTGGACCTCAGAGCATTGGACCTCAGAACACTGGACCTTAGAACACTGGACCTCAGAACACTGGACCTTAGAACACTGGACCTCAGAGCACTGGACCTCAGAACACTGGACCTCAGCTTGTTATGTTGTGTCTGTAACCAACTGAGCTGTCTAACCAGGCAAAGGGCCCTGGCCCTATCGTACTATACCAGTAGTGATAGCATAAGCAAAATTAAAGGGAGGTTACTGTATGTACGTAAAAATACAATAGGATTTTCCATTGTTTTTGTCTACAGTGGGACAGGGATCTTAAACACAGGTTGGACCTCTTCTCTGTTCGTCCGCAGACGAACAACGGTAGAATGAACTGTTTTGTATGTAATCTTTAATTGTTCACTAAGTTATTAACATTACTAAATAAACAATCAATGTTTTGTAAACAAATCGTGACGGGTAATGCG